TGGGAGAGGGAGAAGCAGGCTCCCCGCAGAGCAGGGAGCCCGATGCGGGACTCGATCCCAGGACTGTGGGATCATGACCTGAGCTGAAGGCAGTCGCTTAACCAACTGAGCCACCCAGGCGCCCTCAAAATACATTTTTTACATGAATATGTGTAGGCACAAAAATGTGACAAGAAAAGGCCTTTTCTTTCCCCCCTTCATCACAGAGAAGCCGGTTTAGAAATCTTGAGCTCAGATGGCCAGGGCACTTGACCAACTGAACATGGCTTTCTCACAAGTCTTTCACAGTGAGACACATGATACACTTCCTGATTAAATGATGCTACGTAAAAAGCCATGAACTAAAATCTTTGCCAGTTAGTACTGCCAATAATAGGACACCTATGATACCAGCTATCAGAACCAATTCAATTCTACCTATGGAAAAATATTTGAAAAGCACATATCATTTTTATATAATTTATACAAAGATTTCCATTTTATACTAACCTCCAGAAAAGCTATAGCAAATGGGATTTCTAAAACAAAAGGCAGAAGTAGATCTCAAAAAAATAAATTATAAAAAATTCTCTACTACACTCTTATAAAAAATTAATCATATCACTTAAGTCAACTTTCTTTATACTGAATATTTTTATTACAAAAATTATAAAACTGATTAGCAAATACACAAACTTCCACCTAAGAAAATCACCCTTACATCACTATTTTCTCCAGAATTTATACTCAAACATTGATAATATTTATGTTCAATACATTGATTTTATAAAAACAGAAAATCCAAAGTTCTTGATTTTCAAAGGATTTTTCTGAAAAAAGGAATCCCCCCCACCTAAAAATAAACACATACATAACTCTTATGTTCCCACCTAAACCTTAAAGTCTTAGTCCATGTTTTCAACTTGCTTTGTATTACCTTTAGCACCCAACAGTGTGTTCTGTACCCAGCAAATGCTAATATAACTCTTTATTATTAATATCTTAGAAATGCAGCTTACCATCATCCTCTCTGACAGGTTGCTTTATTAATGTTTCCAGAGCACCACTATAATCTTCCAAAATCCAATATGCCATACTCCGAAGAAAAGGATCATAATGCATATTTATGTTCAGTGAATTGAATTCATTGACAGGAGAATCAATCCCCAAAACTTTTTTACATAAAATAGATTTGTATGTTGCAGATGTATCAAATTCAGACTCATAGAGTCTTGCTATTACAAGAGCCAATTGAATGTCATTCAGTTTCTCAAGACATACCTTCAAAAAAAGAACTACTGGTCATAAATAAGCAGGGGCATCTTTCATTTTAAGATAAACTCAACTGACTCACTAATAACTACAATGAATAAAAGGCACTGATATCTGAACTAAGTGAACAAAGATAATAACAAATAAAACATATACTGCTTGCTTTAGCAAATCTATCTGCTACTAAATACCTACTTGCAACAAGAATTAGCCTATAAATATTAAGTAACCCTCAAGAAATTCAACTCAAATGACATTTTATTTCCTTTTTTTCCTTTTTTTTTTTTTTTTTGAGAGAGAGAGATAGCAGGGAGAGGGGCAGGTGAAGAGGGAGAGAAAATCCTAACCAGGCTTCACAGCTTGGAGCCCGACTTGGCTTTCAATCTCAAGACCCTGAGATCATGACCTGAACTGAAATCAGGAGTGGGACGCTTTTTTTTTTTTTTGAGAGAGAGAGAGAGAGAGATAGAGCAGGAGCAGGGAGGAGGGGCAGAGGGAGAGGGAAAAGCAGATTCCCCACTAAGCAGGGAGCCTGACGTGATGGGGGACTCAAACCCAGGACCTTGGGATCATGAAATGAGCTGAAGGGAGACGCTTAACCGACTGAGCTACCCAAGCTCAATGTCAGTCGTGACATTGTTTCCTGAACTTTTACTCTTCCCCATCCATCTCAGCAGACTATATAGGGTTTCCTTCCTCATTAAAAAGCTGTTTCGAATTACTTGTATGGAACTCCAAGCAAAAGGGCAATTTGAGGGGTGTCTGGGTGGCTCAGTCAGTTAAGCGGCTGCCTTCAGCTCAGGTCATGATCCCAGGATCCTGGGATTGAGCCCTGTGTTGGGCTCCCTGCTCAGCAGGGAGTCTGATTCTTCTCCTTCTCCCTCTGCCCCTCCCCTCTGCTCCTGCTCTCTCTCGTGCGTGCGCTCTCTCAAATAAATACATATTTTTAAAAAGAGCAATTTGAGATAGACAGGTTATACCTCAAATGTTTTAATTTTTTTAAGGTTTACTGAAAAATAATCGGTTAAAAATATGCTACGGTTCATCAACTAAGACAGAGCCAAATATAGATTCACATATGTTTAAACTGATAGAACAAACGTTTTTTTAACCTATTCATAAATATTCTTAAAAGTCAGATCAGCTATCTCTACCAACCAATATAATGTGGTTAATTTTCACTCTGTATAAGTACCATTCAAGCTAAATGGCAAAATTTTAAAAGTCACTGTTTAATATTACTAAGTATTTAGCCTTACATAATTTCCACTATACTTAAACTGAAATTAAAAAATAAAAAATTGAACCTACAGAAAGAGCTTAAAAAGATGACAATGCTTTTTTAAAAAAGTTTCATCATTACCTCAATTGCATCTCTGAGGCAACCAGCTAAAAGAAAAAATGCTGCAGAATGTTCAAATCTTTGTTTGCCTAACAAAGAAAAAGCATTCTTTAAAGCTGCTCTACGCCATCTCTCATCCTCAAAATTGTGTCCAAAAAACTGTGTCATCTTGGGGTCTCTTTGGGATCTATACAGAAAAAAAAAAATGTATGAAAATTTTGGAACACAATGTTTCCACAATCAGAACCAATTTTAACCAAAGTTAGCCATTTAAATGTTAAGACTCCAAAGAAACACTTGCCAGTGCATCAAGTACTATACATCTGCTTCTTTTCTGAGCAAAAGAACACTTACAGTAAACATCTACTTCTTCATATAAATCTCAGAGACTACTGAAAAAATTTCTTTCAAACTATAAAGAAAACTGCTTTAGCAGTACTTCAAGAAATTATGTCTAAATCCATGCAAAATATGTAACTTATATTAACTTGTGTGGTACTTTACCATTTAAACTTCATGAATCACCTTCACCCCCAATGCCCACCTGATAATGACTGCTAATCAAAACCTAAGGAATTTGTCCTCATTCAAAACAATCCTAAAAGATCTAGTCTCTTAGAAGACTGACTGGTACCCACGATTTTCCCCCAAAGGTTGCTATTCATATGGAATCACCTGGAACTGAATGCAAAATAAATGGCGAACTATTTTTGGTGATCATGTTTATCAAGTCTTGCTGAGAACTAGTGAAAGAGAAAAATTCCAAGCGACCCTAGCTCAAGAATGAGGTCAGGTCAGGGACCACTGGAGGAGGGTAGTTTGGAGGGATGGCCCGGCCCATGAGCTCGTAATAAGGCAGAGGTTGGATGCCTGTTCAAGACCACCGATTCATCTCCCCCACTCCAGATGCAAGTTTTTAGTTTAGTTCTTTGTTCTATAGAAGTATCATGGGAAGTTCTTAAAATAAACAAAAAAAAATGTTCTTCTGGACTGATAAACCTGAAAACAAACTAAAGTGACCTCATCAAGATTCTTTTGCTCTGGAAAATACCTGGGCTTCTTTCCTATGAATCTCTCCTTAAATGCAAAAATAAGAATCTACAAGAATCACACTTAACAAGAACCACAAATCTTTACTTTTACTTCATACATTTACTCCTCATGAGGAGTTTCCCATTTTGAAGCATAGTTTTCTCACCTACCTATATAATCCCCAAATCACAGCTTTCTTTCTCATTGCAAGGTAAAAAATGGCAGCATCTAAAGGATCATTCTTTCTATAAAAGGCTGCTTTGGCTACCTACAATTAGAAAATATTGGTCAAAATTTCACAGAAACAATTTTTAAATGAACAAAATAATTTCACACTGAAGACTAGCACACTTTATTTAAATGTTCAATAAATTTAGAAAATATGTACACTAATGCACAGATGTACATACACACACACAAACATATTATACACAGATATACGTACATTTTTTATAATTTCAAAAGTAATTCATGGTGGCCTCCAAAGACACAGAGAGGTGGGAACATAGGACAACGCTTTTCATTACAAGCTCTTCATTATTATTTTATTTTTCCAAAGATATGCACATATTATTTTGTAAAAATCAGACACACGCTACTAAATAAATGTGTCAACTAGCAATTTAAGAATTAGAATATAAACATTAAAAACCTGTATTAGTGTGGTATTTTGAAATATAATGGCTATTTAAAAGCATTTTACTGCTTCAATTAAAAAAAGAGAAACAGGAAATATGGAATGTCCTTTAAAGAAACTCAATATACTAATTCATTTTTTTAAAGATTTTATTTATTTATTTGATGGGGGGGATGGAGAGAATTAGAGCACAAGCAGGGGGAGAGGCAGAGGGAGAGGGAGAAGCAGGCTCCCTGCTGAACAGGGAGCCCGACTTGACGCGGGACTCAAATCCAGGACCCTGGGATCATGACCTGAGCTGAAGGCAGACGCTTAACCCACTGAGCCACCCAGGCGCCCCTAATTCATATTTATACCAAAATAAAACACAACTTACCTTCTCTATGCACTTGCGTAAGGTGCGTGTATTCCGGACCCACCACCCCACACCCATGGCTCTCAGTTCAGACCAAGTGGGATCATCTCTCTGCATGGCTGGCAACATGTTCAGCAGCTCTTCTTCTGCTACTGAGTGAAATGCCCAGGCAAAATGACTAGTAGACAGGCCTGAAGAAGTGTCAAAAATAATGTTTATAAGAAATATAAATGTTTATATAATAATTATCAGAAATGTGTGTTCCATATTTGCCATAAAAATGTCTAAACTTTCATGAGACTCACAGAGTTACAACTAAGTAGTTAAGGTTGGAGGGAATATGGGTTTTTTTTCCTTGCTTCTCCTAACAACTTTATCACTTCATTGTTTTCTACAATAAGCATATATTTTCTATAATTAAAACATATTTTTTAAAAGATTAAAAAACGCTGTATGGCAAATGCTACTGTGATTATTTTTGTTCTCTAGCTATTACCCACGATCTTTCCTTAGAAAATGAGAAACATGTAAAGCTTTATTCTATGCTGAAATGATTGTTCTTCATTGCTGACTCTCACTGTCCTTTGGTCAATGTTTGTTTTTGTGGATTTAACTCCATGGGATTAAAAAAGCATCAAGTAGACGGGAGAGCGTGCTGAACAGAACTTAAGACTGCAGACTCCAGAGTCAGAATGTATACAATAAGCCCAGCTCCAACCCTAACTATAGAACTGTGGGCAAGTTACTTAGTCTCTTGATTCTTCAATTTTCCTCATTTATAAAACGTGAACAATCATGGCACTACCTTATTACCTTGTTGTGAGGATTAAAATACTATAGTTAAAGCATTTAGAAGAGTACCGTACCTGGTAACTAGTATGTTAGATACTTTTCTATTTAAACAGCATCATTTACATCACCTATTCTCTCAACCTACTGGCCAGTACATGTGGTATTTCTTGTTGAGCTTCTATTTTGTCTCTTCAGAGTATGTTCTGTATAGTATTTCTGGGTGAAGTACATGCTTAATTATAAGATGTGGCTTTGACATATATGGACTCACATTTAAACCTAGTATCAAATGCCAAGGAATATGAAGTGTTCACTATACCCAAGTCTTTGGAAAGAAACAGAAATTTTAAAAAAAGAAAAACACATATGCAGTGAATGGACTGCTATTCTAAACATTTTTATATTCCTATTATCTCTCAACCAAGTTCAATAATGTTTCATAAATAAACACTTTGACTTAGAATTTTAAGCTTTACTTTTCCAAAGCTATATACAAAATGAAGGTAAGGAGGAAACAGAAAGACAGAAAGGAAAAGAGAGAGCAACAGACAGACACCAATGAGCAGAGGCTAACCTGTGGAGTCCCAATAACACTGTTTAAACCTACAGACCCAATAATGCTGGAATGCAGCTCTACCTCCGAACTTCCTGGGCACTAACCCTAACCCAAGAAATACCCTGTTTTAAGTTACCTTAAATTTCAGTACAGTTATTTGTTACTTTGAGTCCTGACTAACTACATAAGAGTATCTGAAAGGTTACTAAACTAATACCTGAAATACACGTTAATGAGTAGTTTGGGGAAGTGAATTTTTACTTTCAATGTCTCTACTCTGTAAGACCATTAGAAATTAAATATATTTCTGTAACAAAAATGTTACTCAAATTTTGGGTAAAAACTGAACTTCAATAAATGTCAAACAGGAGAAAGAAGATAACCTAAAGAAGTTAAAGAGAATAAAACAGTATTAATTGGCCTTTAACGTATGATGCATTTAAAAATGTAACACAGAATATCCAACTGCCCAATATCCATTTCTTCATTAACTCTTTCCATCTACCAAAAAAATTCCAGTATTTTAAGCAAAGAAAATTAAGTGGAAATAAGTATTTTTACAAGTAAGTTAAGGAAACTTAGAATGTGTCAAATTTGTCATTGTTATCAAATCTGGGCAAAAACAAACAAATGTGCTCCAGCCTCTCTACTTTTACTCCCATTCTTTTTAGTAGATTACTGCTAAAATTACCTTGGTGAAGGAGCTGAGCTCGATAAGCTGGAAGGGAAGTTGTAAGGAAAGTATGAAGTCGAACAGCCAAAAGAAATTTTAAGCCACATTCATCAAGAGTTTCTCCACCTAAAAAAAAACAAAACAAAAAGTATTTACTTATTTGTAAGAAAACCAGTTCATTAGCAAAATCCAAGTAAATGTTATTAAGATCTGATCTTATTTAAATCAAAATGTGACTAAATTTTAAAATAGTTTAACCTTCACTGTGGAGTATAAAGTATCTTCCGTGTTGATTCAAGTCCTAGACCCATCCCAATAATCTGCTGCTAATATGGGAAAGAATAGTTGTGTATGTTCCTTTCAAGCGTAGTTCAAGGGGTGCATCCTACTGATCTATGCACAAAGCTGGACTTATTAATTTCAGATCTTATTGAGATATGATGGAAATTCTACATTCAATTTTTTATTTTTATATATAACTCAGGAGATTAAGAGGAAAAAAATGCTCTCTGGGTGAGGAAAAGACCTAATTTTAATATCCTTATATTTTTGCTATTCTAGGTAGGAGTATATACATCAGTGCTAATTAAAAAAAAAAAAACCTCAATATTTTAAAAACCAAGTAAATAGTGATTACAACATGAGTAAAAGTAAAGCAGAAAGCACCTTTTATTTTCAGGTATCTAAAGTGATTAGTTAATAAAAATGTTAACTTTTGCCAAACTCCAAAGGATTCAGTTGGATCTTTACTATTATTGAGCAATTAGGTAAAAATGACTGGCATAATGAATCTCTGCATACTTTCTCAAAGTACTATGATTTATGGGATAAATAGCATATATTAAAGTTAAACTTTATATATACTGGGAAAGGAACAATAATGATTAAAAAAAACCTTCCTGGGCATAATTTTTATAAAAATTACTTAAGATTATTTTCTGTGTAAGTAAGTAAACTTATTATCAGTTTCTCCTCCAATCCTGTCCCCAGTTTAGTTTTACCTTGGCTTCTGTCTCTGCTCTCCCCGATATCAGTGCTGGTAGTTGCAATTGTATCTGCTAAGGCCATCAGAGACATCTGCTCCATCCGGCTGAGTCCTGGTAAACTGGAATGAAGTAAGTGGCCAGAAAGAACCTGAGCATGCTCAGGACCAAAGTAAGTTGGACTGTACTGCGAAAGGTCAATGACCCTGGGCTTGGTATTTTCCTCATCTGTCTCTACCACTTGATGATCAGTCATTAAAGTTGGGATCTGAAAAAGCTCATCATAACTTTCTTTTGACAACTGGTTTGAGTTATTTAAGGTACTCTGATTACTAGACTTCTCTAAAGATGAGTAGCAGCTATCATCATCTGCCGCAAGTAAGGCGTATAAGGGAAGTGGAGGGACAGAATCTATTTCTGTGTAATCCGTATTTTCACTTTTGTTGAAAGCCTGGGGGTCTCTGGTAGTGCTTCCGCTAGCACTGATAGTGAGAGACCGAAGGCGGCGCTCGTGATTGGATTCAGCTTCATTCAGCGCCACAACCTCCCCAGCGATGCACTTGACAAGGTGAGACAAGATGGCCTTTGCTCTCCGAACTTTGCCAAGGTCCATGAGTTCCAAAAGCTGCAAGGGATGGTACTGAGGTAGAGTTGGGGAAAGAACATGAGCTGCTTCAAAAAGACCTGAATCTTCTGTATCCACAGAAGGATCGAAGGCAGTTTTCTTTCCACAGATTTTCTGTGCAAGACTGGTCATGGATCGAGTCAGAGTTTTCTTTGGAGGATGTAATCCAGAACTTGATGAGTTGCTCTGTTTTATTAAACTTATTATAGATGGAGTGCTCCCATTGTACGAATCTGTTGTAACAGGTTCCTGTTTAGAAGATGGCTGCCACTGGGAATATACATGCATTTCACAATCCATTCCCACCACCAGGATGCCATCCCGGACCCAGGATAAAGAAACAGGAAAAGGTGGAGAGCCTTCCACAGAAGAAACCAAGTCCATACTTCTTAAGAGGACAAATTTAGAAAGAGGCACAGCTTTAGTGCTTTCCCAGAGAGGAAAGCCTAGGCTTTCCTTACCAGCCTGTTCTTGTACCTTGCCAGCCAGGGGTCCATACATAAAAAGTTTTGATCCAATTCCTACAGTGAGGATATGAGAACCATCTTCTCTAGACATCCAATCTAAGTGAACTAAATGCTTTGTGTTTGATGTGATACTCTCTTTACTGGATAAATACACCTCTTGTTTATTATAAGCCACTAAATTGCTATCGATACTAATACCAGAATCTAACACTGTATTCAATTCATCTAAATGAATCGTCTGTTCAAGGACCCAACATGAACCTCCTGTAGACTCACATTCAAAAATACTGACGTGCATCAGGAAGTCCTGAGAAGACCTACTATTAGATGCAGGCTGCTTGTACGCTACTGCGAACCGATTTGTATGTGCACAGCTAACTTCTATAGGCCTCCCAGGGACGGTTATACTACTATTGCTATGAAGTCCATCTTCGATAAGTAATGGCCATTCTTCCCAAATGTATACAAGATCCATTTTTCCGTTCTTTGATGTGTCAGATTCTCCATCTGTTACTCTGCATCTCCAGAATCTTACTTTCTCATCTGAACATGAAGTTGCCAATAAATAAGGAGCACTGCACATAGGATATATGGAAGAAGAACTCAGATGGCCTAAAATAAAAATAATCTATTAACAAAATGTCAAAGTTGGTTAAATATTTCTGTTTTCATGCACCAAAGGTTTTGGTCTTTGGATCAACTACTGTTGTTAACAAGACAGCCTACATTTAGTTTAAGAGTCAACAAGATCAGTAAAAAGCTTTTAATGACATCAAAAAGGTATACAAAAAGGGAAATATTACCAAAATCTAGAGCTGAAAGAGAACTCTGAGGTAACTTCAATTCCTACATTTTATAGGTAAGGACCCTTGACCAAATGTGTGTAGTATCTTACACTAAATCAAACAGCTAGAATAAAACAGAATTAGAAAACCTGAATTCTAGTCCTGGTTCTCAGACCAGCATTCTTTTCACCCAATTCTTATAAATTGCATTTTAAAGATACCAATACATTTTAAAAACTGTGTCAACATTTATTGGCTCCTCCTCTTCAGTGTTTTTACTATTTTGTGTGCAGCCCACGCTTACCTATGTACTAAATGGGCCCTCCATAACTGAGGGGTATTTGATTCTACTGATACTGCTAAGATTCCTAAGTGAGACAAAACATTTGCTGTCCTTAATGTAACTATATACTCTTAACTTCCTAAACCATCAGCAAGCTTTCTTCTCCTTTAAGATAGTAGTGACTATTTGAGGCCTTGCTAGCCACAGAGTCTCTGCTGCAACTCTTCCACCCTGCCACTGCAGAGCAAAAGCAGGTATACCCAAGAGTCATCCACAGGTGTGGCAAGGTTCAATCAAATGTATTTACAAAACAGGTAGATGGCCCATAGTCTGCCAACCCCTGTTCCAAATTATTAAATATAAACTACTAATTATAATATATAAATGTTATATAGGGACATAATATATAAATGTTATCTAGGACATTTACCATATTTTAAAAGCATTTCAACATAATTTTAATGAAGTTTTTTTTAAAAGTCCTCAAGGAGTATAGCAGTGTTGCAGAAGGACACAGTGAGCATTGTCCACTGGTATCTCTGAGCTGAAAAGAGACTAGCAGGTTTACCTGCTGCAGAGTCGTGATTAAAAACAAAGTTCTTAAGACTACCATTTACTGTATGCTGTTTTTGCCAAACAAAACGTATTTCTTCTCTTTCCCTAGAACTCCTCTTCTTCTGCCAAACTCAACTTGGGCCAAAGTTAAGTAAGAGGACTGTTTCTAGAAATATTTCTCTTATATTTGCCATATGTTTTAACTGGAGTTCAGCAGTGAAGATCATACTATTCTGGCTAAGGGAACAGCTCTGAAAATTGTGTCAATGCAAACATCATTCTTTTTCAAACTTTAACTTTCCTTGCACTGATGCCTCTATTAGTAAAATATACAAAGAGGCAGAATTAAAAGTTACCAGAACACTGTTAATACCCCAGCTCCGGCCCCTTTCTTTTCCCCCGGTTTCAGGTCTTTTCTGATTTGTTTAGAGTATATTTTCTGGGGACGTTGTTACCCTGTTAGCATTTTATTCTCTCATTTATCTATTCTCTGGACAAAATGACAAGATGGAAAAAATCACCTCAACAAAAAGAACAAGAGGCAGTACCGACTGCCAGGGATCTACTCAATACGGACATTAGTACGATGTCGGATCTGGAGTTCAGAATGATGATTTTAAAGATACTAGCTGGGCTTGAAAAAAACATGGAAGTTATTAGAGAAACACTTTCTGGAGAAATAAAAGAACTAAAATCTAACCAAGTCGAAATCAAAAAGGCTCTTAATGAGGTACAATAAAAAACAGGGGC